TTTGGATTATTTTATTAGACAATGCCTTCATTTCCAGCAAGAGCCAAATACTTGTCCCTCCTTGTGAGATTGGTGCACTCAAATCCCAAAACCCTAGCAAGTTCTCCCTGAATGAAATTAGCAACTTCAAAGCTTGACTTACCTCCTGCACAAGTCATCTCTTTTGGCAACTTCTTCAAAATCTCAAGACAATAAACCGGCCTAGGGTTCATGAGGAAAAAGATAGGGTCTAAACACTTTAGACCGCTCGCGGTTGTCCCATAGAACATGCTCACTCGAGCGTCCACAGCCACGGGAACAATGTCCTCGGTTAGCTCAGCGAACAAAGGACTGAATCTCAGTAGATAAGGCTCCCTACAAGTGGTTCCCTCGGGACAAACCACTAGATCTCCTTTGCTTAGTAGTCTCTGCATCGCCTCGCCATCTTTCTTCCTGTCTCTCTTGAGGCTAACCGTCTTGAGAGGTGCTATGAGCGCAGAGAATTTGCTTAGGCTGTAAGTAACCGCGGTCAAGGGCTTGGCAAGCGAAGTGGTGAGGAAAACCGGGTCAAGGAGTGTCCTATGGTTGCATACATACAAGACTCCACTTTTACCTTTCTCAGGAGGGCCGTTATACAAATTGTGGGTCTTGAAAGTGATCATAACACCGGACAAAGAAGCCAAGAAATTGGCTACTTGGAAAGGAAGCAAGACTCCAACCGAGATCCTGAAGACAGAGAGGAAGAAACCGATGGGGAGCCATGAAAACATAAACAATGTAGCCAATGGTGTTGGCAAGAACGCTAATCTCCCGTCATGGAATATCAATGGCTTTGGGTATCTTTCTCTAGGTAGTGTGTTGTCCTTATTCATGAACTCTTCTTCATTCCAAAGATAAGCTTCCTGTGTAGAAAAATTACAACAAAACTAAAGTTAGTGACTTTAAACAAAATTGTCAAAGTAAAGAAAAAGGGAAAAAAAAAGGAAGTTACTTTGCAAATGGAGATGAAGAGATGATCTTGTGGGCTTGAAGAGCTTCCAATTCCAAGTGTAGGCTTCTTCTTCATGTTACCAAGGAAATAATCTTTAGCTGATTTGTGTTTCACAACGAAACCAGACCCAGAAGCTAAGCCTGTGTAGAATTTCCTCCCCATAACTTCTACTTCTTGCAGTTCAGTCCCAATCACATCATCGGCTTCAAGGTGTTCTTTGAGGAACCCCTCAACAATCACTTGCGGCAAGCTCGTGAACACGACTTTGGAGTACCCTGTTCGAGCCCAGATGTTGTAAACTTGAAGATTCAAATTCTCGAGGAAGAATTTAGGTAGAACCGATCTAGAAACGTTGTCCATGTCTTTGACTCTAAGACCAGAGAAAGTTATAAAAGAGAGGACTTTGAGTTTGGTTTCTTGTTGCAGAGCCCAGAGGAAAGAACAAGAGAGCAAGAGAAGTATCGCTCTGATGATTGATCCTCCTTCGAACGCTACGAGCATGAAGTAAGGGAAGGAAGCATGAAAGTGTTTGCTCGAATGTTGTCTTAATAAAACACCATCGACGTCGCAGACCAAGGTTTGATGATCAGAGGAAACAGAGGATGCTCTGTTTTTGTCTTGATACTTTGTAATGCTTGGGAAGAGAGAATCTTGAAGG